TTCCGCCAGAGCAGCAAGTCACCCTATGTCAGAACAGCATATAGTTCTCGAAGAAATTACCACACCGAGCTCAAGTGCTACGCAGGGGGCAGGCAGCACCCTTAGCGTGCCCCCAGCTCTCAGAGCCCCCCAGGATGGCGCAGAATTAGCGATGAATTCTGCAACATAAGGGGAAGAAGTCAGGGGGTCCTCACAAAAGCACCGAGGGTCACTGCATCCTCCTCAAACATTCATGGCCAGCTCAAACCTCAGAGTAAATCCTGTCTGTGCAAAACAGCACCTCCTCAGACACTTTCCACTTTTTTTTTTTTTTTTTATTTTTATTTTTTTATTACATCAGATTCCAGGGAAGAAGGTCAGTTTGAGAGACAGCCAGGGAAGGGGATTTTACCAAGCTTTGGGACCCATGGCATCCTTCTGAGAAAAGCACTCGTTTTTCTCTGGGGGACAGCAAGGAGGGCACCGTGCCTTTCCCAGTCAGCTGCAGCAAACTCAGCACAGAGAGTGGCCCTTTGGGGTTCCCAAAGCAGGGATTCACTTCCCCTCACTGTAACTCAATCTCTGCATATGTAGAATGGAGAAAACGAGAATGATTCCAGGGCTGTAAGACTGAGGATGGATATCAGCACCTCCTTGCTTCCTCCTCTGCTTCCATGCAAGGCAGGCTTTCCGACTGGCATCTTCCTCAAGACCTGCAAGGACTGAGGCCACAGGGGACACGAAAAGAGATCCGAGCAGTGCTGCCACGCTGGTAGCCCCTGAGTTATTTACTTTCACATTAAATTCCACAAATATTTTGTGCTGTCCTAACAGCAGCTCTGAACCACGTGAGCTGCCAGCTGAGCTCCTCTCAGAGGAGGGCAGCAGAGGCCCCCAGATGCCAGCACATCCCTCCACAGAGAGCTTGAGGTTGTGCTGTTTCGTATTAGTCCCCAGGAGCACCGTTTTTGTCCCCCTGCCACGTATGGGGATGAGGGCTCAGGCACTGAGAGACCCTCAAGAACTGTCTCAGCCTACCTGTCCACTAATTCCTTCCCTCTGGATACCTCCCCTTAGGGGAGGGCCAAACCATGGAGCATGGAGCCTTCAGACAGGGTCCATCCCCGTGCTCTCCCAGCTCTTACCCCCATTCACAGAGCTCCTTGGTGTTTTGAGACATTGCTATGATCCCGAGTCACTTGGAGACCCTGTCCCAACGCTCTGATCCTGGCCATAAAAGGGCCATTTGGAAGCAGCTTGCAACCTAGGAGCAAAGTTTCAGGGACCTCATAGCAAGCCCAGCCCTGTAACAGAGCAGATGAGACAGTAAGTACACCTCTGAGGGACAAGACTGTCCCGGAGCCTCAGCAAAACCAGGGCACCCCAGCTCCTGTCCCAGACAGATGCCGCTCACACAGGGATAAGCCACATCAGGGTCTGAAACAGCACCCCTGCCTCGCTGCTCGCCCAGGGCAAGGCTCCAGGACGGGAGGACAGCTGGGGTGTTTTGGTGGACGCTTCTCTTTCCCCCCTGCTCCTTCAGTCACCATGATGCATTTGCTGCAGTTGGGCCCGTGAGGCAACCCCGTGCTCATTAGCCTCTGGCCGCTGATAAGAGCCCTTATCTAGTTCCACACCTCGAATGGGAGGCTCTCCCAGTGGCCCTCCATGTGACCCTGCTTCTCCTGCCAGGTCTGTATCTCACACTGCAGAAGCATCACGCTGCCTTTTCTCTTCTGCATTCCCCTCCCACCTACCCAGAGCAAGTCACCCCTGGCAGGGGGGCTCCAGGGCCAGCGAGCTGCAGCACACCCTGGGGGGCAGAGCGTTCATGCAGGAAGGACCCTGGTAAGGCCAAGTGCTCCAGGTCCATCCCTTCCCCCTGCAATTATACATGTTCTCCTAACGCATAGCGCAGCAGCCTCCCAGTCGCATGGCCAGATGTGGTAACACTCCCACCAGATGTGTGCCCACCTCTGCTATCATGCGATCCGATACAGAGCAGCTTCCACTCAGAGACTAGCAGAAGTCTGGAGATCTCCATGGTCTTAGTGCCAGGTAGAAGCAGCAAGGATTGTTCCCTCCGTTTTTCTTGAAGAGGAATCAGGACCAGAGGTAATCCAACACACTACAGCCCACCCCAGAATTAAAAACTCAGATGCTGGCATCGAGTCCCATGCTTTAAACTATCATCTCCCCACTGCTGGCAGCAATTCCCAGGGCTGCACCAGAAACCTCACATCAGACAGAAGCCTCCCATATGCCAGGCAGCACCTGCTTCAGCAACGCAGTGAAACACCACCCTCCCCTTGTCTAGGCTCAGCCACACGGAAAGGGGAAACCTACAGTTTGGACAAATGAATCCCTGCTGCTGATGCTAAGCGTCAAAGACACAAGCCCAGTAGAAAGTTGGTTATTACAAGAACTAGCTCTTAATTTAATTTCACTGGAGACTTTGCTGCCTCCTTGCTTGGAAAGAGTAGTGGAAAAACACACGTGTGTATTGGGTTTGTGTGGCAAGGTCTTGGTAGTGGGGGGGCTACAGGGGTGGCTTCTGTGAGAAGCTGCTGGAAGTATTCCCTGTGTCCGCCGCTGGCCAAGGCCAAGCCAATCAGCAACAGTGGAAGCACCTCTGGGATAACGGATTTAAGAAGGAAGAAAAACCGTCTGCGGCTCAGTAACCGGAGAGAGAAGAGAAGTGAGAGGATGCGAGAGAAAACAGCCCTGCAGACACCAAGGTCAGTGAAGAAGGAAGGGGAGAAGGTGCTCCAGGTGCCGGAGCAGAGATTCCCCTGCAGCCTGTGGTGAAGACCATGGTGAGGCAGGCTGTCCCCCTGCAGCCCATGGAGGTCCACAGCGGAGCAGATCTCCACCCGTGGAGGACCCCACGCTGGAGCGGGTGGATGCCCGAAGGGAGGAGGTTGTGACCCTGTGGGAAGCCTGTGCCAGATCAGGTTCCTGGCAAGCCATTGCGGACCCGTGGCGAGAGGAGCCCACGCCGAAGCAGGTTTTGCCGGCAGAACTTGTGACCCCGCAGGGGACCCAACGCTGGAGCCGTCTGCTCCTGGGGGACTGCACCCCGTGGAAATTATGGACCCACGCTGGAGCAGGGGAAGAGTCCTCTCCCTAGGAAGAAGAAGTGGCAGAGACAACGTGTGATGAACTGACCCCAACCCCCATTCCCGTCCCCCTGCGTCGCTGGGGGGAGTAGGCAGAGAAACTGGGAGTGAAGTTGAGCCTAGAAAGAAGTGGGTGGGGGGAAGGTTTTTAAGATCTAGCAGTTTTTCTCCTCTCCTTCTCTGATTTTGATTGATAATAAATTAATTATTTCTTTCAAGTCGAGTCTGTTTTGCCCGTGATGGTAACTGATAAAATGATCTCTCCCTGTCCTTATCTCGACTCACGAGCCCTGTTGATTTACTTTTTCTCTCCTCTGTCTGGTTAGAGGGGAGTGATAGAGCAGCTTTGGTGGGCCCCTGGTGCCCAGCCAGGGTCAAACCACGACAACGCGGCAACCCCACAGAGCCTCAGCGAGGGAGTCTGGGTCTCCAGCTGCTCTTATCAGCAGGGATCAGACCTATGCTTCCCCCCCCACAACGGCCCACAGCTGGCTGAATGATGGAGGCCAGGAGGGTCGGAGCACACTTAAGAAGTGTGATGAGACAGGGCTATGGCTTGGCTTAAGGCTCAGAGCAGCTCCTTGCCTTCAGGACACTGAATGTTGTAACAGCTTGGCAAAAGCTGCCTGGAGGAAATATTGCTGTCAAGGAGACAGATGCTATTACCTTGGCCAACAGAGACAACTTTCCAAAGGGGTGAGCAGAAAGAGGATGGAAAGACATGGAGGTCTCGTGAAGAACTGTGGGGTATCCAAAGTCCTGTGCCTACGAGGCCAGGGTTTTTGCCCAGGAGCCTGCTGATGGTGAAGGGTGCATGCCACAGCAAGACTAATTTGGTAAGAAAGGATCTTGATTCAGGGGCTCTTGGAAGGGGAATGTCTTAAAGACTTAGAATCATAGAATCACTTTGGTTGGGAAAGACCTTTAAGATCATCAAATTCAACCTTTAACCTAACCCTGCCATCCCACCACTAAACCATGCCCCTAAGCACCTTGTCTACCCGTCTTCTAACT